TCATCTTTAAAAAAAAAAAAAAAAAGAAGTGGGCATGGTAAGTCCAGAGGGACAGAGCCCCTGCACTGAGCTGCAGTCCCTGTGGATGCAGAGTGGGCTCCACCAAGCTAGGCATCCAGGAAATAGCTCAACATCTTGCCAAGATAGCTCCTCTCTGAGTTGAACCTTGAGCCTCGTGTGGCCTCATCCCAGTCCCTGAAGCTGGGAAGAAGTACCAGGAGGCAGAGGCAGCCATCACAGTCCACCAGTTTCCAGGGACTGCCTGATGTGGAGGCAGCAGAGCCAGGCATGGAGTGAGGAAGGGGAGAGGAAAGCAGGGTGGCAGGGAGCAGCACCAAGGGGTGAGAAGGAAGAAGGGCAGGAGAGCCTGAGCGACATGGAGGGGAGACTGCAGACCTCCTTGTGACAGCCTCTGAGCTCAGAGCAGCAAAAGTTGAGGAGCTTAAGAAGGGCAGACCTGCCCTACCAGCTGCAGCTTACCTGTGGGAAACTGTGGTCAGGACATTGATAGACTCACTGACTTCATCTGGGATCATGTGGTAGGTCCCAAGCAAAGCCAGGAAAGACAGTCCACATTTCTGTCCAGGACCCCAAGAATCTTGGCAACATGGTTCCTTCTGCCCCTCACTACAGTCCTTTCCCCCGGGCTGCTGAGAGCCACCTTGAGTGCGTGTCCCAGAGACTGCAGTGGCAAGGGTGTTGATGAGAGCACAGGAGCAGGAGAATGCATTTGCTTGGCAGTCACACAGACCTGGTTCAGAATCTCATTTTTACCCGTTTACTGGGTTTCAAGTCTGTGACCTTGAACAAATTACCTGAATGCTCTGAATTCCTGTTTCCTTATTAGTAAACAGCTACTGGGACCAGACACCAAAGATGTGTGGTGTGGAGCACAGGTGGGGGTGGGGCTGGCAGAGGCTAAGGCTGGGGAAGGAGGGCCGGCTACCCAGAGGAGGGGCGTTTCCTGGAGCAAGTGTGCCTGGACCACACCATGAAGTTCACAGCGAAGACTGCCATTCAACTCATGTGTGGAGCTAATACTCTCATGACTACTGTGCCGTTGGGCAGAATGATCTAGACTGGGGTGTTGAAGAGAATACAGCTAACTGCTCAGTCGATAGAGAGTGCAAGTTCGGGGAGGCTTACTAGCCCTAGTGGCAACCTGGCAGCCCATGGCTGCAACTGACCAACCTTTTCTTTTCTTCCCAGTTCTCTTGTCCATCTGCTCCCTGCTGTGCGACCCCAACCCTGATGACCCTCTGGTGCCAGAGATAGCCCACACCTACAAGGCTGACAGAGAGAAGTATGCATCCTCTTTGGGTTGCCTTTGTGCCATGGCTGCCCCAGGCAACTCCAGGCAGCACCTTTACCCTGAGCTGGTGCTTCAGGCTATACAGGTTCCCACAGACATCTTCCTGCCCATGATGAGTCCATGTGCACTGAGGGCATGCCCTGGGCTTAGAGTCCTGGCTCTCTGACTAACATGTTCTTAGACTCTAAGGAGGGTGAAGCAGATCAAGGCAATTCACCTTCCTGGAGAGCTCATCAGCTGCCACTCCTGAGCCTTAAAATATTATTGCCAAGCCCTTGAGGCCAGCAAAGTCAGTGGTGAGCCAAAGAATGGACTCGAAGAATCTGACAACAAGAAAATTCTGGATAGAAATCTAAGGTTTGTAGCATAAGATGAGGGAATGTCATACACCCAGGGTAAGGCCAAGGCCAGACAAGGCAGGAAATGCTGCTGAGTTCAGTTTGCTGTTTGAGGCTCAGAAGTCAGCAGTGTGTTGCTGTTTCACCAGCAGACCTGCATTGACAACTCTGTTTAAACACCAATCACCAGACCCAGAATTGTAGAATTCCAACCCCCCTGGCCAGGCACAACCTCGGAGCGGGGGTTGGTGGAGCAGGCACAGGAGTCATCACTATATGTTAATCTCTGAGTGTTGATGGCATAGTGAGAAAGGTCCAGACATGGTAGGGGCCCAGGCAGCAGGAGCAGTGGCCCTGTGTGCGGCACAATCCCAGCATGTGGCACTGAGAGGAGGGTAATGCTGGCTCTTTCAAAGAACATTTCCAGTGAGTCTTTTAGTACATTACTTCTCTTCTGTCTGAAGAGATTAGAATGGAATGTGGTTTTTCCAACTAACTTTTTTTCTTGACACCTTTATAGATCTCATTATTTCCCTCATTGAGGTTTCCTGAATCACAGTCACAACGATTTTTAATTGCTTAGATTTAAAATTGTATTTATTTTAACATTTACTAAAAGATATTTTAGGGCCGGCCCGGTGGCGCACTCGGTAGAGGGCGGCGCTCCCACCGAGGGTTCGGATCCCATATACAGACCAGTCCGCTCACTGGTTGAGCGTGGTGCGGGCGTGACACTGAGGGTTGTGATCCCGTTACCGGTCACGAGAAAAGACAAAAAGGAAAAAAAAAAAAAGATATTTTAGACATACCAAAAGGATTTTTTAGTGCCTCCTCTAACTACAAATCTCCCTTACGTTCTCATGGCATCAGATCTCTTTACCATAATGAGGATAAGTACACACTCCTACATAGTCCTCCATGGGTGCCAGGCCTGCTTCACGTGCTTTACAGACATGCTTGTCCAGTCTTCCCCAGGACCACACAGGCAGATTGTCTCCCCGGGGGAAACAGAGAGGCCAGGACACAGAGAGGTGGCCCAGCTGCTGAGGGGGCGCTGGTCCATACTCCAGTAGCCAGGCTCCAAGCCCATGTTCTGGAGTTTGTGTGCTAGACAGCCTGAGACTATTCCAAGCTGACTTTTGTTTTTCTCTTCCTATCCTCCCCACATCCATTCTGCAGGAGAGGAGAGAGAGAAAGGGAGGAGGTTTATTGCCTTATTCCACAGTAGACAGTTATGGAGAATCAACAGGACTCTGAGCCAGGGGTTTACAGCCACCACTGACATGTTCCTGCTCCAGGGAAAGTCTTTATTTCACTCATCGTCAGTCCTAGATGTTTGACAAGCAGCAGTAGCAGCAATTCCCCACGTCAGTCCTGTTCTCTGCACCACAGTGAAAGAAAGTGACATTTCAAGTGAGGGTGTCATTCCCTCTGCTTTTTTCTTCCAGGTACAACAGACTAGGAAGAGAGTGGACACAGAAATATGCTATGTAAGTGCCTCGGAGGTTTTACAGGAGACATTTTCCAAGAGAAACTGGCCATGCAGAGAGGTTTTCCTGTGAGACTCTGAGTTGCTGGCTGAGCCTCTCACAGAGAGTCAGCCGTTCCTCAAACAAACGTTGGTCACCTTGTCTCTCCGGCTGCAGCATGTTGGTGCCACTCTCAACTATTGTGGCTTTGACAATGTTTTGTCTTTGATGCCATATCAGCAGCCATTGTCATGATCTGCAGCTTCCTGGTTACACTGGAATCGGTCCCCCTGCCCTGACTCATCTGCTCGTTTTGTGGGGGCCAGGCCCTGCACGCCTCCCCAGCCTGGCCTCAACTGGTGCCACTTCCTGCCATAGTGCCACACAGGGCCTCGGCCTGCTCCTCACGTGCCCTTGCCTTTTGGAACTCAGGGTTGTCCTGGATGCCCAGGGAAGAGCAGGCTTTCTTCACACCCCATCTGTCATAGAACCATGTCCCAAGAAGTCTCCACTCATCCTGGAGGCTCCCAGGCATCAGGAACAGCATCACTGGCAAGTGGAGGCCTTGCCCTGTGGCTTCCCCCAGGCTTGCAGTGCCTCACGCTAGCGTTTCTCCCCCTACACAAAGAAGCAGCAAGTGGAAAATTGTTAGGCTGTGGGCCGGCCCGGTGGCGCATTCGGTAGAGTGCGGCGCTTGGGAGCACGGCGGCGCTCCCGCCGAGGGTTCGGATCCCGTATAGAGACCGGTCCACTCACTGGTTGAGCGCAGTGCGGGCGCGACACCGACGGTTGCGATCCCGTTACCGGTCACGAAAAAAGACAAAAAGGAAAAAAAAAAAGAAAGAAAATTGTTAGGCTGTAAAGCACTAACAACCCATTAGAGATGACTGTCTTTTTAGAAGCAAGAGCAAAATTATGAAACCTGAGGGATTTGGGTTATGCTTTTCTATGTGTTGAGGTTTTACACCGCCCCCACACATCCTCCCACTGGGAGCCTGCACTAAGTCCAAATGTAAGCCTTTTACAGACTAGAACACAAGGGAGTGGAGATACTCTTTTAAATGTGAATAAAAATGCAATTCACTCATAACTCTAATTGATCATTGACACTTAAGTCTCCTTTTTTCTTTCAGGCAGAACGGAAGACATGGAAACTTTTAATAGGTTCTTCAGAGTCTAAAATTAGAAGAGTCTGTTGGGTGACTGGCTTCCTCTCTTGGCTTTCTGATGCAGCACATTTTAATGTTTGCCCTTAGAGCTTAGAGCTCTGAGATTAGGCTAGCTAGGAAAAGGGCAGGAAAGGGATTATTCTAATAAAACCTCCAAAGAGGAAGAAAAATTGAGGGGCTTAAAATCTCGAAAGCCAA